CCTACTTCATTTTTTTCACAATCGATCAAAATGGCCAAGTATTGTTTTGATGGCATATTTACTTGCGAATGTCCACTGAATGTCCAATGTAGTGCGGGAAATTCGTTAGGGACCGTCTAAAAAGTTCTAATTGTTTTTCATTGTGTGCAAACAGACAACTATGCTTTAGCCAACTACAGATGTACTGGCAAATATCACTTACATTATCTAATGCTATAGATTTTCCTTTAGCAACAATAAAAATAGCATTATAACGATGCTGTTTGAAAAGATGTTTAGGAAATTAAAAAGAAGGAACATGTACATGAACTGTAATTTGGTAACAATCCAGAAAAGTGGAAAATCACGTGTAATGTCCTGAGCACAGTTAATGGCATAGTTAAAACAACTGTTTTTATTTATTTATTTGCCTCAAAATGAACAAGAACTGTGTTGATGTGTTGGTTTTAACAATGACATTTGATTTATTTCAATAGGTTTGCAAAGCATGGGTCAACTGCTCCAAAGCAAGTCGGAACATCTTCGCTGGACCCTACAGAACATACTTCAGCCCATGTCTTGCTGTTTTATTCACATCTGTTTTTCTCATTTTAAGTATGATAAAAACTTAACAGTGTAACTGTGTTCTCCAGGTGTTGAATGAAAAGAATGGCTAAACTATATTTGATGTTTTCCTGTTTTTAATGACATCTTTGTTTAACATTAAACTCTCACAATTCATGTGCATTGATTGATGTTTACAGTCCTGCAGAAATATCACTCTCCATGGTACTGAATCCATCAGATTATTGACAAGTACTCAGAAAGCATGAAAGCAAACAGGATGTTGATTTTGGGTGAACACTTCAAAAACTAGTTGGAAAATCTTTCTTCAAGATGGTTTATAAAGAATTTGTGCCTCACATATATATTAAATTTGTACCATCGCTGTTTTTTATGGGTTTCTTCAATGACACATCATCCACTTCAATAGCTTTTGAAAGAAGGGACCTAGTGCTACAGTTAAAGTTGCAAAACATTTATCTGACCCTAAATAACATACATCAAGTATTTAGTGTAGATGTTCAAAATGTACCATCACTGTATTCTATGTGTTTCTCCATTGACACACCTTCCGGTTCAAAAGCTTTTGAAAAGAGTGTCACACCGTTACAAAACAAGCTGTTAATAATTATCTGACCCTCTTCAACATATCAGAAGTCTAGAAAGTACAAGTATTTGCTCTTAACGATACATTTGCAACATCTCTGTGTTATATGTTTTTCTTCATAGAGACACCTTCCAGTTCAATAACTTTTGAAAAGAGGCCCACACTGTTACAAAACAAGTTTCTAAATATTTATCTGACCCTCTTAAACATATCAGAAGTCTAGAAAGTACAAGTATTTGCTCTAAATGATACATTTGCAAATCTCTGTTTTCTGCATAGACACACCTACCTTCACTTCCAGTCCAATAACTTTTGAAAAGAGGGTCACACTGTTACAAAACAAGTTTCTAAATATTTATATGACCCTCTTCAACATATCAGAAGTCTTGAAACTACAAGTATTTGCTCTAAATGATACATTTGCAGCATCTCTGTGTTATGTTTTTCTTCATAGAGACACCTTCCAGTTCAATAACTTTTGAAAAGAGGCTCACACTGTTACTAAACAAGTTGCTAAACATTTATATGACCCTCTTCAACATATCAGAAGTCTAGAAAGTACAAGTATTTGCTCTAAATGATACATTTGCAACATCTCTGTTTTTCTTCATAGACACAACTACCTTCACTTCCAGTGCAAAAACTTTTGAAAAGAGGCTCACACTGTTACAAAACAAGTTTCTAAATATTTATATGACCCTCTTCAACATATCAGAAGTCTAGAAAGTACAAGTATTTGCTCTAAATGATACATTTGCAAATCTCTGTTTTCTGCATAGACACACCTACCTTCACTTCCAGTCCAATAACTTTTGAAAAGAGGCTCACACTGTTACTAAACAAGTTGCTAAACATTTATATGACCCTCTTCAACATATCAGAAGTCTAGAAAGTACAAGTATTTGCTCTAAATGATACATTTGCAACATCTCTGTTTTTCTTCATAGACACAACTACCTTCACTTCCAGTGCAAAAACTTTTGAAAAGAGGCTCACACTGTTACAAAACAAGTTTCTAAATATTTATATGACCCTCTTCAACATATCAGAAGTCTTGAAACTACAAGTATTTGCTCTAAATGATACATTTGCAACATCTCTGTTTTTCTTCATAGACACA